TATGTATGGCGTCGGCAGTGGCGGTGAACTCTGCTAGGGTTTCGTTGGATGGTGATTCCCGACAGTGATTTCCTCAGTTTCTCACTTCCTCACAGCTTTTCTCGAGACGTTCGCTCGCAGCAGACGTCTTTGTCGTCGACGCTCGCTTGCATCGTCTCTTAATAGACGATGTCTCCCGCGGTTTGACAACGCCTCATCCTGTCGCGGTTTGCGTCCTGCATGACATCTCACTTGCAGGCGTCTCTCCTATAGCCGAGGGCGCTCCCTTCGCAGTCGTCTTTCTACGCGTCTTCGCTATCTTCCTGACGACGCGACTTCGCTTTTCCAGACAATTGTTGCTTTGCCGCCCGACACACAGACACCATCTTGTCGGTGAAGATGGCATCCACTATCCGTTCATATGCCACAGTATTTTCCGGCAACTTCCCAATTCTTACACGTGCTCCTCTTTCAAGTCCAGAGACTGGTTTTCATATAGGTAAGTCTTGCAATATTCCACAATATTTCCACGAGGCTCTTGGAGGTGGTAGTGATCACACATTAATTAAAAGACTTGGAAAAAAATGGCAAGTCTGCTCTTATTCTCACAGAAGTTGAAACCAATACTCTCGCATCTTCTTGGCATTTTGCTCTATTGGGAAAATTTATTTATGGTCACCCAAAACTTGAGATCATTCGAAAAGAATTTGACGCTATAAAGCTGTTGGGTAGTCGGAATATTGGTCTACTTGACGGTCGAAAAATACTGATTTAGTTATCTCATGATATCGATTACACTCACATTTTTTCTCGAAAAGTTATAAAGATCGACAACCGTCATATGAAAATTCTGAAGTCGACTGTTGATTTTGATCCACAAGCGGAGTCCTCTATCATTCCTGTTTGGATAAAACTTTCGGGGTTAAAATTATATCTGTTCAACTTAGAAATTCTCTGCTCTTTAGCAATTGCTTACGGTAAACATCTCAAGATTGATAGTCTCACGTTTGTTGTCACCAGACTCTTTGTGGTTTGTGTATTAGTTGAGAGGGATATCACTCAACCAACTCCGGATAAGGCATAGATTGGAACCACTCATAACGGGTATTGGCAAAAGGTTGAAATAAAACCACACCATTCTTATTGCTCTCATTACAGTATGTTTGGTCACAGTTCTACCATTTGCTATCGTTTGCATCCTCATCTAAGGTCGGATATCGCTAAGGATCAGCCACCTATCATCCCTGTTGAGAAGATGCAACATGATCCTCTTTCCAACACCGCAGTTCCTGACGAAGAACACAATACTACAGCTACAGACTCATTTGTGATTATAACACCCCCTGTTATTGAAGAATGTTCACTTACATGCCAAGACACACGAGAGTGCTCCTTTAATCAAATTGTAGCCGTTTCTAATGTTCAACAACTTACACATGTCCGACACACTTTAGACCAATCCACTGAACAGGTGAGTCAATGTTCGGATAAGGAATGACAGGTCTATTCCAGGAGGAAGAAGAAGAATGGAGGCCGACTCGAGCTCGGGAACTTATTGGATGATACATTGGTTACTACTAGCAATGACATCCATCTTACCAATTTATTAGTTGACTTCTTCCTTAGAACTAGAGGCAGAGGCAAGGTCAAATTGGGTCGCTCTCTAGCTACTTGATACTACGTATTTCAACACTTTTAGGTTTTTTCTTTACGTTTCTCATGTACTTTTCTGTATTTTCTCGTTTTGGAACTATTTCTGGTTATCGTGTGGACAGGGTGCCATGCTTGGACCCTCCCACACATTGTATTTGTACCTTTCTTTCTATTTAATATATTAGTCTTTGGGTTTTCGAAAAGAAAAAAAATAAAATTATACATATATATATATATATTATATATATAAAGATGCTTAGAAGGATAGCATATCATAACATCAATTTATCTTGCAATAATATTGAAAACAATTGTTCAGATCACACATACTAAAATAACAAATCATATGCTCAACATTTATTCTACTAATTCTAGGCCCACTCTCTTTTAAATATCTTTCGATTCTAACATAAAATGTCTCATCAATCTAAAGTTATCTGTGAAAAGCATGCACCAATGCACCACACTTTGAATACCATTCGTAAGCATCATCATAATAAGTAAAAAAATAATAAGTTGATGTTGATCTTTGATGTAATCCTATTAGAATTGAAATTTTTCACTCCATAACCATTTAGAATATAATCCTCCATCATTTATATCTTTAGTAACTAAAAGAAAAAATAATATTCATTTAATGTTTAATATGCGATGAGATAATTCTACTAATACTCACTTATATATATATAGTTCAAAATTGATAAAAAATTATACGCATTTAATGTTTAGTGTACATCAACATAATTATGAACTTTCCATATTAACATGAACCAAATTGGCTCTACAAATCTAATAAAATTCTTAAGTATTTGACTACTCTTCCCATAACTTTGATATATGATTCATGAATTTGATTCCACTATATCTACTAATTATCGTAACTTAGAGAATCTCATTTGTTTTAGAATATTGATATTAAATGTTTGTTATCCGATAACTTGCAATCTCATTGTCTTCATATATCAAAACAAAAAAATTGCTTAATTAAACCCCTTTGATACCGCCCATAGTCCCTAAACCTCAGTATCTCATTTAGGCCTAAAATTTTATCTATATGCATCTTATCCACAGCTAACATCGTTTTTTTTTTAATCAATATGCTAATAGAAATCATTATTTATGCATTGAGCTTCTTTAAAAAAAATTTTTTTCCAATAAAAATTTTTTTCAATAATTTTCAGCGTAGCAGTTTTATCTTTTAGTGACACACTCGTCATTTAAATAATGAAAAATAAATAAGCTCTGAAAAGCTCATTAAGTAAAACAAAAAGAAAAAAATATAAAGTCATTTGAAGCATTTATAAAAGCTTTATCAACATTTTATTAATAATCCAATTATAAAAGCTCTATTGACAAATATGAGAAGATCAAATAGAACAAAATCAGCTTTTAGATAGACAATTTTCTGATTGCTGCAGAACCCGGATAGTTGTAATGACGGTGAACTTCAAACTTTCAAACAGCAAATTAAAAAATGAAGATAAAAATTGAAATAGAGGCAACCTTCGATGGCATGAAAACATATCAATAAAGAACAAAAATAAAATATAATATTTACGCTGTTTTAATGCTTTCAGCAGCTTCCAGTGCACTCAGATCACCTTCAACGAGATAGATCAGCTTTTGAAGCCCACATCTCTGCAAATAAAAAATTGCATACCAATAGAATGCAAAAGTATCCATATAAGTTATAAGTAAAAAATTCATTTGATTGTGCTCTTTAAACTGGACTTCTTAAACTGTCAACTAAACCAACAGGCAAAACAAACTAACGCCACTAAGACTGGTAAATTTTGAGCTTGAGCTCACGTGACTTCCAATATCTTTCTATTAATTAGCTCTAAAAAAATTGGGTCTTGAAATCAAACTGGGCGCAAAATCAGTGAATAGTTTTCTTCTTTTTTAACATATTATATGAAGTTTATAGGAGTAAGAACCCAAATATTTGGAATTTATATTGCTAAGATGCGTGGAACTCAATTTCTTATCATTTTTTTTTCTCATACAATTTGGATTTCAAAGTTATTGTAAATCCATGAAAATCTTAGAGACGATTTGGACAATATGATTTTAATCTTCAGAATTGATGGCTACCAAACTTAAGTCACATTCATGTAAAATCCTCCATACTTACCAATGCATATTATTTCTATAAGAAGAAAATAAATCAATGCTTGGAAGGTATCACTTTGTTTCCTTCACTCAGCAATGCATGGAGGCAAAGGATGGAGAAATAACCAGTAAAGTATTACCAGATTGGTAACTATCTTGGTAGGTGTCACATAAAGGAATGTTTTGGTTAGATGACCTGCAACAACTAATGAAAAGCCAAAGATAATAGTGAAAGTTGAATGCCTTTTCAAGGCAAAATTAACAATTATCACAGATGCTAGTGAACAGTAAAGTGATCCAATATAAGAAGCAATAGGCTTTTCTATAACTTCGTTGAGAATAATCCATCAAGAAATTTTGCTCACGTTTGAAGAGAAAATATAAGAAGGAGATAGAAAGAGAAGAATAATATTGAGATGAAATATAAAAAATATTTTTATCATGTATTTGTTTCTAAAATATTGGATATTTATCCCTTTGAGTTTGTGGATATTGATGAATCTCATTAAAACGCATACACACTCCTGTGTTATTTTCTTCATGTTCTAGAAGATTATATTTCTTAGTCTGATGAGTGGCGTTGTTTACATGCATGTTTCCCCAACAATTGAAAGCTGACATAGTTTCTTAGTTTGCAAGAAAAAAAGAAAGCAATGTCACATGAATATAAGAGATTAAGATAGATCAATTTGAGGAAAAGAAATTCGGGTATTGAAAGGTGTAAATTGAAGATAACAATATACGGTAGATCTGCAAATACAATCTTTGCGTTAAAGCAACAACAACAACAACAACAACCACAAAGTCTTAATCCCACTATGTGGGGTCGGCTACATGAATCCTTTTTCTCCATTGTGTTCTATTTAGTGTTATATTTTTATATTTAGTTCTAATAATTATTTAGTTCTAATAAATTAAGATCATTTTTTATACAATAAGACCAAGTCTAGACCAAGTCTTTCGATGTCTACCTCTGCCTTTCTTAACATAAGTCGAATCTAAAACATCGACTCTCCTATTCGGATCATCAGATGGGCGACGCTTAATGTAACAAAACCATCTATGACGACTCTCTCTAATTATGTCTGTCACTAGAGCTTCACTAGAGCTACACCAACCCTACCACGGATATATTCATTTCGCATTTTGTCTCTAAGTGTAAAGCCACTCATCCACCAAATCATTCTCATCTCAGAAACACTAAACACTTAACTTAGTATCTCTTTTAAATTATTATTATGCTTCTCTTTTAAAGGCCAACATTCAGCGCCATAGAGCATTGCAGGTCCTCTTATAAAATTTTCCTTTCATCCTTTCAGTTTAAGTGATACCTTTTTTATCACGCAAAAGGCTTGAAGCATTCCTCCACTTCAACCAACCAACTTGAATTCTACTATTAACAACCCCATCTATATCACCATCGCTTTGTCACCCAGACCCGAGATAACTAAGTAATTCACACCTTTTAATAATTTGATCACCCAAAGTTACACTTTTGTCACTAGAGCTACAAAGTCACCCAAAGTTACACTTTTGTCACTAGAGCTACTACCACTAAAATTACATTCCATGTATTTAGTTTTAGTTCTACTTAAATAAAGGCTTAGACTCCAATGTAGACCTCCATAATTCAAGTTTTTCCTGGGTTTTTCTTTCGTCTTATCCACGAGAAGGATATCATCAGCAAAAAACATACACCAAGGTACATCCTCCTGTAAATGTCCAGTAAGACCGTCCATAACTAAAACAAAAAATATGGGCTTAAAGCCGATCCCTGATATAATCCATCAGAAATAGAAAAATAATTGGTCAATCCTCCATCAGTTCGAACAAGTAACAGCTCTAGTATACATATCTTTAATGACTTGAATAAATAAGTCATATCAACACCTTTCTTCTCAAAAACTCTCCAAAGGATATCTCTTGGAATCTTATCGTAAGTTTTTTTTTTTAAAATTAATAAAAATTAAATGTAGATCCTCCTTATTGTCTCTGAACTTCTCCATCAAACCTCTCAATAAATGTATAGCTTCCATGGTAGAACTGCCTGGCATAAATCCAAATTGATTAAAAAAATAAATGTATGGCTTCAATAGTAGAAACTTCATTAAAAAGTATATCAAAATAACTCACCCACATATGTTGAATATATTTTTCTAAGAAAAGTGTTTTTTTTACTTTCATCTTTAATACACTTTACTTGAGTTAAAACAAATAAATATAAACAAAATAAGACAGGGATCTCTAGAACAAATAAACATTAGGATTTATATGATAAACATGAACAAAGAAAGTTGAATTCAACAATGTTATATGAGCGCACCTCAACAAGCATGAAGAAAGTTTCATGAAACATATATGAAAAACCTCAACAGTGAATAAATTATGTCACCCCCAATAGGTCCCCCCTTTTTTAGGGGTCGGCTGAGGTTCGATGGAGGCTGGCAAATTGATCAGACTAACTCTCACCAACACTCGTCCCGACTTTATAATCAAGATCCAGTTGGTGATGAATTAGTCTAACTGGTTCACCACAATATACGCGATACATTGCATTTTAATTACATATTTGGAAGCATGGAAATTAAATCATCCAAAACAAAAAAACTATATAGAGTTGCTAAATCCATAACAATAAAATACTTACCCAAAACTTATGAACAAAATTGTCAAAACTACATGCAAAAGCTATACAAAAACACACCTGAATACTCGCCATAGAGCTCGTTGCCCATACCTCAAAGGCAACAATGAAGAATAAGCAAACAAGCTCAGAGAGATAATCCGGGCTAATAAAAGAATTTACACATGAAAAAGAAGCAACGTGTATCCTCGTAGAAAATTGTACATATCTACACACAGAGCATAACATGCTAGTATAAAAAAAGATACATAAATCAAGACTACAACGTAATATGTAGGTCCTAAGCATGAACATAAGTATAATAAAAATCATGTTGATTCATTGCATAGAGGTCATATCATAGTAATGTCACTTTTTTAATATCTAGGGTTCAACTATTTTCATGTTATTTTATAATGGGTCGTCACTCTACCCCAAAAATCATATAAACCATCGATAAAGATTGAGCTCCAACCATCGATAAAGATTGAGCTCCCCCCAATATAGCAGTTATCTACAGTCCCTTTGATACTCACGGTTCCCAGAGTTTCGTCCACGTATAAATATCAGGAGTTGGAAATACATCCCTTCATGTAATAGTCTACTCATACATTACTCATCACATTTCATATAACATAATAATTGTAGCATACATTCATAGTTAATTCATATACATGTATGAATCATAAATGAATATCTGCACTATATCACAGTATAACATAACATGTATGAATCATAAATGAATATCTGCAATATATCATAGTATAATATAGCATCATATGTATAGTAAAAGACGTCTTCTCGCATTCACATTTTAAGCAAGTAATCATCTACAATATACATGAAGTCTAAATGTTTTTATATCGAACTAAAACTCATATGCAAACTTATAGAATATTATTTTTCTTAAATTACCACAAGATTATTTCACTCGACTAAACTAAGCAGCCCTACAACGAGTTTTTATACGCTCGTCTCGAGCTTGCCGCCTCATATACACGACCTGGAAAACATAGACATCATAGGAATTCATAAAATTTCGGCTCATAGTGTGCAATAACCGAAAACAAGCATTAAAGGCCAAAACATGCCTCAAAACGACTATTCGGCATAAATTTGCTCTCCAGACAACATCAACTTCTCTCTCCTTCAATCACCTCAAACCATACTTCTCTCTGAATTCGTGTTAAAATATTTTTAGAAGTTCACAAAACCAATTACGACACTTCCAACACAAACTCGATGCCTCTGACGACTACTGGAAACGAGAAAAGCACGAAAAATGAGGCAAACTTCAAAACCGAAGGGTGAGAAGGAAATTAAAGCCTAAAACAACGAAAGAGAGGGATTCGTGTTTACCGAAATCGCCCCGGAGCTTCCAATTGCAAGTTGCGGCACCTGAGTAGCCTCAAAGGCAACAACAAAGAATAAGCAAACAACAAGCTCAATAAATAATCTGGGTTAATATAAGATTTTACATATGAAAAAGAAATAATGTGCATACTTGTAGAAAACTGTACATGCTAGCATAAAAAAGCAGGTACAAAAAATCAAGATTACAATATAATATATGTCGTAACTATGAAATCATAAGCATAATAAAAGCATGTTCATTCATTTCATAGAGGTCATGTCATAGTAATGTCATTTGTTTAATATCTAGGGTTCGACTATTTACATGTTCTTTCAGAATGGTCATCACCCTGCCCCAAAAGTCATAAACCATCGATAAAAGTTGGATTTCCCCCAACATAGTAGTTATTGACAGTCCCCCTAATACCCACAGTTCCTTAACGTTCTATCACAGTCTAATCCAACGGTTCTCAGAGTTAAGTTCTCATATAAATATCAGAAGTCAGGAATATATCCCTGCATGTAATAGTCTACTCATACATCACTCATCGCATTTCTTATAGCAAAATACTTGTAGCATACATTCATGGATATTTCATATACATAAATGAATCATAAATGAATATCTGCACTATATCATAGTATGACATAATATGTATGAATCATAAATGAATAACTATAATATAGCATAATATAGCATAGCATCATATGTATAGTTAAATACATCCACTTGCTTTCATACATTTTAAGCATGTAATCATCTAAAATATGTATGAAATCTAAATGCTTTTATGTCGAACTAGAAATCATATGCAAACCTATACATGATTATTTTTCTTAAATTAGCACAATATTATTTCACCTAACTAGACTGAGCAGCCCAATGTCGAGTTTCTATATGCTCGTCTCGAGCCCGTGTCTTGTATACACAACCTAGAAAACGTAGACATCATAAGAATTCATATTTCGGCTCATAGCGTGCAATAACCCAAAACAAGCATTAAAGATACTTCAAAAGGGTTGTTCAGTATAAATTTGGTCCCTGAAAATACTAATTTTTCTCTCCTTCCTATCACCTCAAACTGTGCTTCTCTCTGAATTCGTGCTAAAATATTTTTAGAAGTTCACAAAACCAATTACGACTCTTCCAGCACAAACAACGGTCCCTCCGACGACTACAAGAAACGAGAACCCGAAAAATAAGGCAAACTTCATAACGGAAGGGTGAGGAAAGAAATGAAAGCCTAAAACAACGAAAGAGAGAGATTCATGCTTACCGAAATCGCCCAGGGGATCCCAATTGCGAGTTGCGGCACCCAGGTGGTCGCTCGATTCTTGTTGTTCGCAACCTAGCTCTACTAGAAAGTTGGCTTCGAAATTATTGATATCAACTTTCTAGCTCTACTAGAAAGTTGATATCAAAATTATTGACATCAACTTCGATGTTGGAATTCATGCATTGAGCTGCATATCATCACTCTACTAGAAAGTTGGCTTCGAAACATGATAGCTGCAATAGTACATGCAGGCCTATGAAGCTAAATGATATGGGAAATCTCGAGTGAAGTGATAAGGAAACATGAATCAAGTGAAGGTTCCTTTAGTGCTCTGAATCTATAGTAGGGCGGAAGTGCTCGCAGAGCGAACAGCGAAACTAATCGAATCTCAACATAAGAGCAAATTAAAAAGGTCAGTGTATTGTATGCTGACAATGTGCAAGGTTAGCCATATGAAAAGAGACGATCCATAGAGAAATAGTGAAAATAGTTCGAAATAGATGAAGGAATCCATAAATGTTGCAAGTGAAAAGGTCGATTACGTGAAACCTTAAATGTGGATGGTTAGTTCTAAAGAGAATGTAGAAAGGTTTATATTGTGGGTGAAAAACATCTGAACATCACTAGAATTGGTGATGTGGAAATCAAGACCAAGAGTATCATTGTTGAAGGCGATAATGCAAATGTCATCAACTGTTACCGTGAAGGTATGAGAAGGGAGAGGCGGCGGCCACAGCCTCAAAATGGTGGTTATCTTGCATTTCTTACAGATGTTAAACAGGTTCTTTTTTTTTCTCTTTTCTCATAGAGAAAGTAACACGACTACCTATTGTTGTTCTCGTCATGCTTTGGATAGGTCTTTTGTTTAAGATGCCCACGCTTGTGATCCCACTTTTTGAGTGTGATGGAGGTTGATGTCAACCACACTGCATCTTTTGTATAGCTTTTATAGCTCTTTTTATATATTTTGATTTTATTTTTATGCAAAATACACACCTTTCAAGAAAATTAAGACCAATAATGGAACCAAGTCGGAGTTTTATAATAAGAGGCACATCCCTACCTTGAAGGAAATATGTCTTAACTGGGTAGTTAGATGAAGAAGGTTGCATTTCAACCTTCTATACTAACACTTGGATGATGATCAAGGGTGCAATGATAATAGCACGTGAAAGAATAAATGATATCATGTACATGATATCAAATATTAGAACAATGTAAGTAATTTTTAAATCTATTGTAGGTGATTGTAGTGGTGTAAAGCAAAATAAAATTTCAATCAAATGAAAGCCTTCAAAGAGCAGACAGACATTAAATGGAAAAAAGTATATCACAATCAAGAAGCAACATGACAGCACAGTAAAGGTTGTGATAAAGATTGCAATGATGGACTATAGCATTACAAAATCCTAGTGAACCCATTATCAATAATTGAAATGGCTGTCAAATGAAAATGTTTGGACCTCAAGTTCCCAATCCTCCTCTCGTGGAAATTTGATTTTGAAGTCGTTTTATATAAAAGAAAACCTTGAATAAGCATTGGAGTAAATCTAGCATTGATTTTCAAGTTTACTACCAAACTCAAGATCCTATTGACACCCAATCCTGTATACACCACATATGGCCCTTTAAAAGGACCCAAATAAATAGTTTCCAGATATCGCGCATTTTCTCCTTCATTAGTTAGGTACAGAATTTGAGATCGAAATGGCTAATAAAGTGATCAAATATTAGTAGTTTACTTGGTCAAAGTCAAACAGAGGCATTTCTCTAATGGGTGCTAAAAATTCAAAGACCGGAGTACTGTTGGATGTCAGAAGCCTTCTCAAGAGAAAAATAATGATTTTCATAGAGGTAAGTAAATGGCAAGATGATCAAACATAGAAGTAAGCAAGCTTCCCTCTATTGTTAGAAGAAAGAAGCAAAAAAAATTGTGCTAAGGTTGGAGAGAATAAGAGAAAGTGGGAGATGGCACAATACTAACGAAAATTAGTGAGAAAAATATTTCAATGAGCAAACATCAAGATCTTGTATGTCCCTAGGCTAGTAAAAACATATTTTCTATAATTATCGATGAAAGTGAATCTCACAAAATCACTTCAACTCTCTTATATTTTTTTCATAATATTTTCGTTGCATATTATTTTTCTCATTTTTATATCATTGTTATCAAGTTGCGTACTTTTTCCAAATAAATACTTCTGATTTGAAAAAAAAAACGTAAGACAATCATTACTACCCAGAGAACAACTTGACACCACCTAAATGAGTATAAAAATCTCAATCAAGCTAATGACCGAATCATGGGCATTTCCATACAACGCAGAATGACCACAAAAAGAAAAGAAATCAAACAAGAACGCATGGCCACCACAAATTCAATAATTAGTACAACATTAAGAGCCCAACTTTTTAAAACTTGTTATTTCTTCCATCTACAAAAATCGCTGAATTAATTTAACAGATTCCAAAAGATAAAGGAAATATATGATTTTTATTATAACTTATCTAACTATTTAATGAAATGCTCGTAGGTTATATTGACCTTTATGAATAAAGATTGATGATTGTAATAGAGCAAGTCAAGTAGCACTGAGAAAGGAAGGAGACTTCGTGCCAGTGAAGTGGTCTGAACTGAATCAATACAAATATGAAAATCTTAAATTGAGGAACATTCAAATTGAAGGGAGAAAAAAAAGTTGTGAATGGATTAAAAGTAAGTGTTTAATTGAAAATTATTTATAGTCAAATAAATACTGAATTAAATATTAATATAAGTTTTATTGCATAATAATGTCATAAATCTTAAATGGGAGAATATTTGGATCCAATAACAAGAAGAACAAGCCACAGTATTAAATTTTAGCAAGTTCAAGTTATTGAGTTGGAAGATTAATAAAAGTAAAAAGGTTAAAGATTTAAGTGAGAAATTATGTTTCTAAAATACAGTAATATTTTTTTAATTTTTATATATAATTTTTAATTTCATTTTTTATACTTTACGTTATATATCATTGAGACTTAGATTTAAATTAACTCTTCATATTGTTTTGTATAGCACATGTATATTAGCAATTACGTATAAACAGTTGCATTATAATATTCTTAAAAAGAGATTTTATGACTACATGATGTGTAGATTTCAATATAAGTCATATATCACTTTATTACATGATTTATAGATTTAGTAATATTGCATATATTCATCAGTAGATAAACGTAAATAATTTTATTAAAAAAATATATGATATGAAAAAATAGAATAATGTATATATGAATATTTGTATGTGCATGCTAAGAAGAGTTCACCTCTTATGTCACAATTATGATGTTTAGATCATTAGTCGTTATGCTGATAGGAGAATGTCAGTTGGAGGTAAGTAGACACTGATCCATCTCATACAATTGCATAAATTAGATCACAAACTCTTGTAACATTGGGATAATAGCAGTCAGGGATATATTCGTTTATCTTTTGACGGTGCTCCTAAGAAGAATGTGAAAGTTAAGAATATAATGTTTACTAAAACTTAAAAAATTACACCTTGAAAAGTAATATAAAAGTGAATGCATATAAAAACTCTATATTTCTTCCATGAGCAAAACCAAGTACTTATATTATAAATTATTATAAGATTTTCTCTAATAGATTAGTAGAGATCAGCATATATATTGCTTACTTTTCCTCAAGTTTCCGAATTTTAGAAGTATGATTCCTCCACCGAGTTATTTTAAACAACTCACTATGATGTTTTACTAACTTTTCAAGTTTAAAAT